TCATTGGGACTGTCACATGTCAATGGCTTTTTGTTCTTTTATTGCTATCAAAATGTCATTTGTAGAGATATGGGAGTGTGCAGCTGGGTTGGATTGGGACATTCCCTTATCTGATACTGTGTGGTTGTTTGGAAGGAATGCTATTACCTCATTTATGGTACAGTTTCAAGAACATTTGCTAGAAGACAAAAACAACATTTTGTCATGTAAATTGTGTGGCTTCTTCTGTCAGAAGAGCCCTCCATTGCTTGGATGGATACAAGGTGTTGCTGTTTTGTGCACTGTTAACATGTATAGTAATGCCCTGTGACCACTCACTGTCAGAGCAACTGATCTAAACTTGGAGAAAAGGGGAATTATTATCCCCGCCACGAAGTGGAAGGGGGATTTAGGAATGGGTGCTATCCATCCGGCATACCCTCAGTTCGTCAAAAGCCATTAGAGATATCTTAACCAAAATTGGCACATAGGTAGGCCTTTTTCCTTTTGATACTTTGAGTTTCTATGGCAACAACTTTGACTTGACTGAAAAATGGACACAAAATGGACATGTCATATTGACATATGCTTTGAACACATGGAATACATCAATGACAAACTGAATACAAGGCAAGATGTCTCCCAAATATAGCATTTGTTATATTCCATGCTTATTTGTTTTGCAGCATCTGTAACAGTATTCCTAGGCAATTATGTGCTGCCCATACTGGTAGTCGGTGGTGACCATTGAAGATGCTGTCTAGTTTGAACATCTTTGAATAGAATAAGTAGATTCCTTGGTGTATCATAGGTAGATCAGCTCTCAGCTTTTAAACCTAACTCATTTTTTCTGATCCAAGCGGGGTCTTGGGTGGTAATTGTTTGAGACCTTCATCACTCCAGGCTTTCCTCCCACATAAAGCTGACACACCGTGAAATAACTGGAATACTGAGCGTTAAACCCGACTAACTCACTCTGATCCCACTCAGTTACTTGCTTTAATGGCTGCTCTGGTGTATACAATTGTTATGATATGGATGTGACAAAACCCTATCCACTCAGTGTTTTCTTGCATGTCAGTGATGCTAATAAAGATACTATCCTGGTGTTGGTTCAGATCAGTATCGGTTGATACACGACCAGTAGGAAGCATTACCCCTCTGAATTGCCTCATCTCAGTGGTTGCTGCTCCTGTCACTGCTGGGTCATTCAGGTCTATATTTATTCTAATCAAGATGTTTACCAATGACACTTCGTCACTAATGATGGATGCTCCAGAGTGTGTGTCAATTGTCATGTTGGTTTGTTGAGACAAACCCTGGAATACATCAATGACAAACTGGATACTAGGCAAGATGTCTCGCCTTATGTCTTCACTGGAATGTAGGTTTTTTGTCAGTAACATGCAGCCATAATTACCTTCAACAGTTCAAAGGTTAGTGTTTCATAATACTGTTGCATTTGTCTGTGGAATCGCCAACCATAGCATCAATGTGTATAAATTCATTCTTTTCAAGCTTCTCTGATGTCAGATAGCAGTGTCATCCATTGTGGTTTTATGGTGGCCCACTGGATGCTGTGCTTGTTTGCTGTATAGAAGGTCCGAGTTCTATGTGGGTACAGTGCGTGAGGCACTGTTGTCTGTTTCATCAGCTCTGATAGCATGCAATGTTTTTTAACATTGTCAGCAGAAAGTTATGAAACCTTTGCTAGAAGATAGAACAACCACATTTTCAGTGCTTGCGACCGACGTAGAGGAAAAGATTAATACAGGATGATTATCTGAGGAAGACACTGTTAGATCAGGCAGTGCAAATAGTTATATGACTGATGTATTGATTTATAAACTGTTCATTATTATTCATAAAAGTAATATGATGTAAGACTGGTCAGTGGCTGTCATAACGATGGTAATATTGCTACAGCGGGTACAGAAAAGAACTCCTGTCCAAATTGTGTTATTGTTTCTCAAACAGTGGTCCCATAGTGTTTGCAGAAAACATTAGCGGCAAACACTAAGTTCACGGATGTGTTTGTGTGACGGTCAGGTTTGTTTGCTTCCAGTTGTTGCTGTTTACATCTGAAGCAAACTGCAGGGAGGATTTAGAAGGTGTTCAGCCCACCAGCTGGCAGCATCAGTTCTGTCAAGGTCTTCTGCTCCAACAATTTGCTGATGTTTGGAGACAGGTGGCTCTGGCCAAACTTGTATGATATTTGTCTTGTTTGGGTTTTTGTTATACTTTTGTTTGGACTACATGAGACCTGTTGGGAGGAATTACATGGATGCATAGTTTGGATTCTGACATGTGTCATAATTATCCAAGAGAAATTCTTAACTGTTGACTAGATGGAGCCGCAAAGCCGGGACACTTCCTTCTGCTTTGCCATGCCCCCTCCCACTGAAGTTTTTCGACTTATTTGCACATCAACCTTTTGTTGATTGTGGTTGTTTGTAGAGATATGCTTTATAATTTGCTGGATGAACTCTGGTGATGTTTGGAACTGATTTTGACAATACTTTAGCTACTTCACTTAAACCACTTGTGTGGTTGAAATATTTGCTCTTCATTTAAATTTGGTTGGTTGGTTTGGTGTTTTACGCCACACTTAGGAATATTCCAGGTATATCACGGTGGTCTGCAAATAATCGAGCCTGGACAAGACAATCCAGTGATTGACTTCATGAACATCGATCCACCCATTCGGGATCAATGACATGCATCAACCAAGTCAGTGAGTCTCACCCCCCGATCCCGTTAGTCGCCTGTTATGACAAGCATGGGTTGCTGAAGACCTATTCTACCCCGGATCTTCATGGGTCTCTTCATTTAGGTCATTGCAATCTTCTGATACGCAGAAAAAACAGTATCAGAATGCAATTCCCTTATTGTTTGATATTGAACAACTCATCTATTTATTTGCTGCGCAGCAGGTTTGAAATTGAGCATGAAAGTCAAGGGATCCTTGTCATCACCCAATGTTAACAGTAAAAGGTTTATGGTGTCCTTAGCTGGAACCCCCTGGCTGATTGTACTAGTCCAGATTAATGCTGGTTTTATAGTGATAGCCCACTGAGAAATCTTGCTACATTTTGAACATGTATACCCCACTCAGACTGTATACTGACTCCAAGCCGACCAGTCAATGTTTTATCTCCTTATGCAGACCATCAGTCAGGCAGAGCAACAACAAGTACCATCTTTCAACATCTTTTGATGTGACTCGGCCAGCGATTGACCTTCCACTGACCTTCCACTCCCTGAGCAGACGTTTCAATTATCAAGCTGCACAGATACCCACATCATCATTATCATGATAATACTTTGTTTTGATGTGTTACGTTTCAGAAATATCTGTCAGTCTTTAAGAAATATTGTTCATTTTTCATTTTTGACATCAGTAAGTCTCCACTTCCTGGAGTGATGTGTGGGCACAGGGCACATCTGACTGTCATCAGCCCCAGTGCTGGCCCTGGTGGGAGTCACTCAGTGCTGGAGACGGAGGGAGGGGGCCTGGGGGCATGGACTGGTGCTCCCAGCCATTCATTGTTAGGCCAATATACAATGTGGAATAAATTTAAAATTGCATTAGTTTTTATATTTGAACTCATAATGTTTTGAACAGTTTTAATTTTTCTTTGATCTTAATCATGTTAATATGTCAATTCAAATAAATTGATGTATTCCAGATATGAAAGATCAACATAATCATTGCTTCTGCGCAAAGAAATGGTGTGTTGTCAGTTTTGAATTTAAGAAGAACCTATCATCTGTTTTTGTTTTTATGTTGACAGACAATTCAATTCAGAATCATATAACATCAACCTGAAAAATAATCAGTCTTCACAATACCTTTTAATTTTTTAAGTGAATAGGTATCAACAATAAGTCACATATGCAATTACAGAATAGCTTTTCTGCAGGCAGTTTATGAAGGTATAAATTTCCTGTAGTGTTAGTGATCCCATCAACGCCTAATGCTCAGTGATATATTGTGTTACTCCTGTGTTTGTATATCTTAGGACAGTCCATTCATCACTGCAGTAGTGCATAATTAATTCATACAGTGGGCTATCCCTTGCTCTGGACTCCTGGACTCCCTTGTTCCTTGTTTCTAGCACTTATGATAGTCTTTCGAGCCCTGCAGTTTACACTGCAATTATACAGATACAGGAGGACTGTCTCTCTCATGCCTTCTATACTTCTATATATCTATCAGCTTGTCTACTTGCATGAATGTCTTCTTATGAAAGATATTAATCAGCTGTCTGCTTCGCAGTTTGGACTTCTGGATCCTGATTCTTTGGTCTGCTAGTAAGAGAAATCAGCTAGTCAAGAATAGTTTTCTCCTAAAATGTAACAATATTTACTTTAATATATTCTCTGAAATGAACATCTGTTTTTGAATAGTCACCTGTATAAAGCTCATTTTTGGTGACACTAAATAATGCTAAATGTCTCTCTCTCTCTCTCTCTCTCTCTCTCTCTCTCTCTCGTAGGGTTACCACTGATGTATGGTGCACGCACAGGGTCAGTTGTGCATGACGTAGATGACTACTGATCATTACAATTAGTGTAGTTGCATGGGCAGTGAAGGATGTCTAGTAACAACTTGTATGTCAGCATTGATCTCCCTGTCTATAATACATGCAGCCTCTGCTGAGAACCTCATATATCGGCATCGATTAGCTCATATGGCTTTTGTGAAATATTTATTCAGTTCAGACATATTGACATCTTAATTTCCTTAATAGATTTGGTGATTTTGTTGATAGTATTATATTTGTTCTGACATGTCATAATGGGTAATCTTGTTTGCATTTACATTTGGAGAAAGGGATGAAATAATCGCTTAATTATTGCTTAATTATTTTATTTTACAATTATATGATGATTCAGTGTTTCGTGGTTCATTGAATGGTTTTGCTACCTATTTTTACTCTCTATAGAAAGTGGTATAATTCAGTGTTCTGGTCCATGTGTACTGATCAATTGCCATAACATGACTACTTGTGATGATGTCATGTGTTCTGGGACATTTCTATCAAGGTCAGGTGTTCTATGAACATTTCAAGCAAAATCGGGCATTCTATGTACATTTCTATGTGGGTCAGGTGTTCTATGAAAACTTCTATCTGGGTCCAGTGTTCTATGAACATTTCTATCTGGGTCATGTGTTCTATGAACATTTCTAGCGAGGTCAGGTGTCCTGTGAACATTTCTGGTGAGGTCAGGTGTTCTATGAACACTTCTATCAAGGTCAGGTGTCCTATGAACATTTCTGGTGAGGTCAGGTGTTCTACGAACACTTCTATCTGGGTCAGGTGTTCTATGTACATTTCTATCTGGGTCAGGTGTTCTACGAACACTTTTATCTGGGTCATGTGTTCTCTGAACAATTCTAGCGAGGTCAGGTGTCCTATGAACATTTCTGGTGAGGTCAGGTGTTCTATGAACATTTCTATCAAGGTCAGGTGTCCTATGAACATTTCTGGTGAGGCCAGGTGTTCTACGAACACTTCTATCTGGGTCAGGTGTCCTATGTACATTTCTATCTGGGTCAGGTGTTCTACGAACACTTCTATCTGGGTAATGTGTTCTCTGAACATTTCTAGGGAGGTCAGGTGTTCTATGAACACTTCTAGCGAGGTCAGGTGTTCTATGAACATTTCTATCAAGGTCAGGTGTCCTATGAACAATTCTGGTGAGGTCAGGTGTTCTACGAACACTTTTATCTGGGTCAGGTGTTCTATGTACATTTCTATCTGGGTCAGGTGTTCTACGAACACTTTTATCTGGGTCATGTGTTCTCTGAGCATTTCTAGGGAGGTCAGGTGTTCTATGAACACTTCTAGCGAGGTCAGGTGTTCTATGAACATTTCTATCAAGGTCTGGTGTCCTATGAACATTTCTGGTGAGGTCAGATGTTCTTTGATCACAATTTCGTATGTCTGTGTTTCCATTTATCAAGTATCAACTATTGTAGTACAGCCAGATAGTCTCACACATGGGTATCGATCAGTCTGAAGCAATTATTTCTCCATATAACTGGCCTACGTTCAGTAACCACATTAACAGCATTGATTGCCTCTCAGTGAGATTTGCCATGCGGAGGCCTGTTTTAATACTTCTTTCCTGAAACATGCACACAAAAATGGATTTTATGATCATTGATAGAAGCAGTTTAGAAAAGAACAGACGCAGTTGCATATGACATTATGAGTTTGGAGACAAATCTCCACGGGAACAATGAAGCTAAAAGTAAAATCTCTTCACGATTCCTTTCATGGAATGAATTATTAGATAATTTGTGCCAGAAATATGTAGCAGATGTCAAAGATAGTTTTGTTAACTGAAGTATTTTGGTGTTGTTGTTTTTTAATACTTTTCTGGATCTGTTTCCTCCAGCATGGAAGATATGGTCCATCACCTGTACTTGCTGTGTCGTCAGCGAGACGTCTTAAGTGTTTATGTTCATTCCCATATGTGTATTCAAATTAATACATAAATATATCTGTGTATTTACTAACCTAAAGACTTAATTGATTAAGTAGTATTAGAATTCTAGTCTGTCCCAAAGACCTTTGCGTCTACTAGCCTGAACTTGTATTTTATCAGTTGGTGTTGTTTTTAGTATATGGACTGGTACATGCTGATCTTACTAGACCATAAGAACTGTGAGACTAGACAGGGGCTTCAGACTAGTGTATAAGTCACAGGCTGGAATTCCATTCTTTCTAGTCAAGCACACTGATTCTAGTAGCCCATATATTGACAAAACAATCTGCTGAAATAGTGCCAAAAAACCAGCTAGAGCAAGTACGTACTAGAGGTTTTGGCACAGACTGTATGTAGTAATTGTTTGTCCAGGGATGTTACGTCAGTCAGTGGTGTGCTGGTGTGTTTCTAGAGTTTGTAATGAGATTGGTAGGACATTCGGGTCTGAATGTAACATAGTATAAATTTTCATTTTGTAGTCAGATTGCCTCTGTGGTCTAGTGGTAGAGCGTCCGCCTGGAGAGCGGAAGGTCTGGGGTTAGATCCCCGTCTGCATCATACCAAAAGACGTTAAAAGATGGTACTTGTTGTTATCCTGTCTGGTGCTTGGCATTTAAGGGGCTAAAACAAGGACTGGTCGGCTTGGAGTCAGTATACTGTGTCTCAGTGGGGTATTCATGTTAAACTGCGGCATGGTATCTCAGTGGACTAGCACAAGAAATCAGCATCAGTCCGGACTAGTACAAGCACAAACACACACACACACACACACACACACACACACACACACACACACACACACACACACACACACACACACACACACACACACACACACACACACAGCATGGATACTACGGTTGAATGTACAGTTATTCTTACAGTGTAATGAACCAAGGGTGTCAAGTCCACAGACTTCCAGTAGGGATACTTGTTTTTATGTTATGTGAAACTTCAAACATTGTGGTTGTGTTTTGAAAGGGCATAGGGCAGCCACAGTGTCACTGGATCAGGGATAGGGACTGGCAAGTTTCTCACATATTCCTTCAAGCTCGAAATTGCGACAAAGTTTTTCTTTTAAGCTGATCTTCACTTGTGCATCTTAAGTCAATGGTAAACATGGCCACAATTCTGAGCTAAGAGGAGTGACTTTTTCCTGCATGTCGCTGCCCCGACAGGTCGTTGTGGGGATTTGTTGTGTTGCCTCATGGACTTCAAGACACTCTGCAGTTAAACATTTAAAGGCTTTGTTTTGCTGACAAATTCCCCTGGTATTTTGCATCTCCTTCCCAATGCCCCACAACACTGTGTTGTTCCAGTTAGCTGGGCCTGACTGTAAGCAGGGTGTTTGAAGGCCTTGTTACCTGGTGAAGAAGTCAAAGGCAGGACCTTGACAGTGATGAAGTGTACCCTTAACACATGCATGATTTCATTCAATTCATCAATGAAATTATTTTATATTTGAACGTTTCTCTCTGTCATGATATACTTGATAAGGTTGTTGACATAGTTTCAAGACTTGTGGAATGTTTTGTTGGTGCTCTTCATGTTTTGATGGATGTATTCAATCTGTCTGTGTAAAAGTCAATCAATGTCAAATAGCAGCCATGTCAAGTGAAAGTTTTATGTACCAAATCTGCCAAAATGATAAGTTGATGTTGTGAAGGTAAAGATTTAAGCTGTGCTTACCTGCAAGTTTCACGATTACCTGGACACACTACCAACTGGGGGAAGTCTATAGTGGGGGGGACTGATGTCAAATTGTCCAGAAGCATCAGATGAACTTTAGCAACAAAAGCATTTTTGCAACCATGACATCAAATATGCCCATTTTCTGAAATTCAGTAAGACTAAAAAGTTCATAATTGTAATGTAAACTTGGAAGCATGACAGCATTGGATTAGTGTGATTTGATTATCAAATATTGTCCAAAATCGATTCAACTGATTAATTTTGATTGGCTGTGATAAACTGATGATCCATTTTGAATATACCGATGTCCCTTCCAGGACCCACTTGCACAAAGCGATCTTAGCGCTACGACTATTGTAAGCCTATGTTAAAGAATGGGAGTTACGGTCATCTTAGCGCTAAGATCGCTTTGTGAAAGTGGGCCCTGTTGTTCATGAAATGTGTTTAATCATCAGGTAATTCATATAATGTGTTCACCTGCCTATAATCTTCATGTGGATCCAGAAATGTGTTCACCTGTGTATGATCATCAGGTTGTTCATATAATGTATTCATCTGCCTGTACATTTAATCATTCCCTATGAAGTACACATATCACGCTTCAGTATGGCTTGTATCACCCTCCTGACAATCCAGAAGATCAGTATCTCCCCCTCAACGACCTCCTGCAGGCTGTCATCTACCTCCTGCAGGCTGTCATCTACCTCTCAGTCTGGAGGCCCACAGTCTCACTCCATATATATCTCTAAGGAGGAGCCATGAAAACCTGCCCCTTTTACACTGCAGATACACTTCTGCAGATTGTCACATCTTGTGAGTAGCTCCACATTATTCCATGGCGTTATATGTTGTCCAATATTGTCCAGTGCTATCAGTGTTTTGATCATGTCAGTGTTTTGATCATGTCAGTGTCTATTTATCAGTGATATTGTTTCTGTGGTTCAGTGGTATTGTTTCTGTGGTCGTCGCTCTACTTCAATCAACATGAACACAGTTTCAATAGGTCAACTGCTTCACCAAGGATGGGGTCAGCGTGCTGTGTCAACAGCCCCTTGAGTTGGTGAAGATTACCTCTGATCCGTATGGGTATCTCACCTTGGTATGGACGCTTACACAGGGATTTTGACCATTGTGTATAATATTAGCATGCTTCCTGCCCATTATCAAGAATATGATACACATTCTTGTGGTAGAGTGACCTCAGGAGAATACGAGGGAGAGGAATACACGCTATGCAGGTCATCACTGCATGGAAATACCCTCACAGGGCTCGTGGATTCAGTTTCTGATGTTGGTTGAACTGCCAGATTCATCCTTATTATGATCCCACATCTGTCAACAGCATAGCCTCCTGTGAAGATCCGTGGCAGAATTGGTCTTCAGACTCGCTGACTTGGTTGTCATTGTATCCCAATTGTGTGGATCGAGGCTCATGATGTCAATCACTGGAATGTCTAGTCCAGACTCCATTATTTACAGACTGCCGTCATACAGCTGGACTATTGCTGAGTGCGACGTTAAACAACAAACAAAAAACATAACTTTGAGCATATCTACCACATTATGCTGACATCCCATAAGATAACTGAAAATATATTTAAGCTGGCATTAAACACAACCCCAAGGCTGTGTCAGCAGCCCTTGAGTTGAAGATCACTTCTGATCTGTATATGTCACCTTGGCGTTGACGCTTACACTCCGTCTGGAACATTGTGTATAATATTACCATTCTTCAAGCCCATTATCAAGGATAGGATATAAAGTGGCAGGGTGACCACTGTGTAATACGTTTCAGGGGAATACGAGCTGTCCAGGTCAACATGGAGATACACCTCACATGTACTATACTCCTCTTTTTGTGTCAAGTATGTTTGGGATCTGAGTGTGATAGGCTTACTGAAAGGATGTGGCCAGATCTTGGTCTCGGTATAAATCTTCCTTTACGTATGACTGGAAGTTTCTGTTAGGTTTATGAACTGAGTCCTAGCTTATTTATTACATTACCTGACTGTAAAATGCTGACTTCCTGTACTAAAACACTTAACAATATCGTGACAGAACACTTACCTTTCTACATTCTTCAGTCAGTTGTGCCAGACTGCCTAATATCTTGTATAACTTAATAGTAAATAATTCCAATGTGCCTGTGCTCTTTATTAATTTCAGTCAATGAATTGGACCCAAATGCCTGTCCCATAACTTCAAATAAGGCTCCTCTTGAGCTATAACAGATTTTGCTAAAGTGAATTTCTTTTTCACCAATAAACATGTTTTCTTCATTACAAAAAGAAACATGATTCTAAGAGGTACATGGTTTTGGTACATGCCAGTGTAGTGATTTGAAACTGGCCTTCACATTGTCATAGGATTCAATCTTTGTATTGCCTCCTTTCATTCTTTGATGCTTTTGTCAATTTTTTCAAAACAATTCTTCACATAAACTCTGTTGTGTTTGTTAATAAAGAAGAAACAGGTTTTACATATATTCAAGTTTGTATTTATAGACAATGGCATGTTTGGAATTACTAAGAAACACTCCCAGTGTTGTGGCAATACAATAAACTATGCTTATAACAAACACACTTATAACAAACTGACAGATATAATGAACGTATGTTTTGGTGCCAGCCTATTGCTGTATATATGCTGTACATATGCTTAAAATGAAGTATTATTAGTGGTCCTTTGAGTTTGTTATAACCATAGTTTACTGTACATGTTGTTCCTTGGGAGGATTCCTGGCAAGAATAGGTCTGGAGGAGGATACATTTGCTGTAAGAGGCATTAGCATTAGTTGGTCAGACAAGGTGACGTTGCTGACTGTGGATCATTGCTCACTCGACTCTCATTCTCTGGTTTCTCTGGTTTCTCTGATTTCTCTGATCCAGCTGTGATATAGCTGTCCGTTGCATTGAAACTACAAACTGTACTATTTTGTGGTTTGTACAGCAGTAAAGGCATCTAACATATTTCATTAGCTTCAAAAGACTTCTGTGTTAAATCATGTGTGTAATTACCCTTAATGATTTTACTGACAAATCTGAAAGAAGTATTTAGATAATTCTGACTCTTTTATGCGAATCAGTGCACCCTCGGGCTACTTGCATTATGTGCAACAGCATACCGCTGATAGATGTCTTCAGGAAGTTACTGACTTTTCCCTGAGGGTGTAGCAGAAAGTGGCAATATATCTATTATGAGACAGAGATAGTTATCAGGATTACATCATCCGTACTCATGTTGTCCTTGGTGTTTCAGACTTACATTCACCCTGATGAGGCCGTGTAGCTGAGAGAGAGGTGTTACACTTCAATATGTCTCTTAAGGAATCACAGCAGTTTGAGAAGGGCCGCATCAAGGCCCTTCAGGATGAGAGAGTGTATATTCAGAAGAAGACTTTCACAAAATGGGCAAATGCTTTCCTAGAGAAGGTAAGAAAATCCTGTTTGTCATTATGTCAAAACACTGGTAACTTTCTTATTAGTTGTGAAAGATTATTGGAACTACAAGTCGAACACAATAAAACCATGCAGGTTTGGGGAAAGTGTCAAATCAGGCCCAACAGAAAATACAGTACTTGTAACCACAAATGTGCAGAAAATGCACAATTTGCAGAAAATAGTTGTAACTATAATCATTCCATGTAGATGGAATGACGTTCCTACAGATATAGATAGTGGAATATTCAACAGTCCTCAGAACTCTGAAACTCACAAGCTGTTCCATATGGACGTTGTCAGATAAATAGCACTCTCACTAGTACATTAATTTGAATCCTAAGAATCTACTCCACCGGGAAGAAGCTGTGTAATGCTATGTGAATGCTGTGTGCTTCTTACACCAAGAGCTGAAATGGTTGTCAAAATTTATTGATATAAGGTAATACTTCTTATATAATATAATCTTTCCACAAGGGAAGTGAACTCTTTCCTCTGATGTTTGCAAACTTACCTCTCACAGTGTAGCAATTTCCTATATTTTTCGAGTTTGAAGTATTTATGTAGAAACCCTTTCAATACTTTAAGAATAAATTCAGTGACAGGATTATATTCATTTAAAAGAGGACAGGATTAAGACTGGACCATCGGAACATTTACCCTTACAGTACCTCTTTGTCAGCTGCATTCATTTTGTCTTGAACAACTAGTCAGTGCTAGCTAAAGTCGTTATAACAATTAGTCAATCATTGAACCATTGCTGATACAACATTTTCCCAGAGAAAGGAGTCCTCTATTGATTCTTAATAACTTACTGGTAGTGACTGTTGCGTTAAGAGTGTGGGAAGCCATGCTTGATTGGCTCCTGATTGCTGTATACACCAGCCAGGCATGTAGAGTTATTCCACCCCTATATCCAACAGCATTAGTATCGTCTTAGTATCACTTAGCTGCCAAGATATGCGCTAGTGTATGCTGCTGTTTATCACCTTTCCTCTGCACTGACAATATATAATCCATATGTATGATATGTCAAACTGTAATGCACCTGCATGAAGACAAGCGTCAGATTGACATAATTCATGCTAATGGTGTGTATCAATAGTGTGGATAATGAATACATAACAAACTACATTGACTACCATGTTCTTGATATGCTCAGAATATTAAAGTTACCCTTTTTTAATGTAGTGTATTGATAAGCGTGATCTGGAACAAGGTCGGCGCCAGATTACGTCTCCTAGTGCTCATTGAGGGGCTTAATTCTTTGAGTCATAAGTGTAGAGTTTATCAGGGCAACATGTGATATTTCTATTGTCCTTTTGTCACATAAATATATAATTTACACATATGAAAGGCAGTAATACATGGCGAAAAGTGATGTGCTTAGTTTTGCATTAAATGTGATGAATATGGTTCAATATGATATGAAACAGTGATTAAGATATGAGGTTTAAGATCAATGGAAGAATCATTCCTGAGGGTAAGCACACCCTTTGTGAAACCTGAATGCTTCAACTAGGACTAATATCCACTTGGTCAATAGAACCACTGCAGTCAACCCTAGCATTATGCTGCTGGAATATGTTCCATTGCATGCATGACAGGATTTTAAGCCTTTGTAATGGGAGTAAATCTGTACAGTAACCTGGATCAAAGATGTGTGGCTGCAGTATTGATACAAGATGTGTATAGGAGCAGGGATTGATCTGGGAGTGAAGGTCTATACAACTGCTGCCACATGGCTGCCACTTTGTGCAACATTTGTTTCTTTTGAATAACAGTAACTTACAATCAAAGTATGTTCAGGAATGTATGTGTGCCTGTCCCAGAAATAGCCGTGATATTACTTGTCAGACGACTTCACTGATAAAGGCAGGAGTAACACTAGCACTAGTCCTGCACCATGACTGGAATTTTATGTGTGTGTATATACATATTTATTAAATACTTCAGTGCGAAAGACTGAGTTTTCTGAAGTTGAGAAAAGTGATATTTTCATTGCAGTGAACATAACACTTGATATTTCACTGCAGTGAACATAACACCTGATATTTCACTGCAGTGAACATAACACGTTGACGGAACTATGTTGGCCTACACGAGACAGCTCGTACACAAACTGTTGATTTACGTCAGTTCAACGTTGACAAGTCATATAATGACAGATGGTCATTTATGTAGTTAATACCGATTCTTACCGTTTGTTATTTTGTTGAAAATGATTTGTATTAAACTTTGAATTTCTCTTCTGATTTGTCAGTCGATACTTTACGTTTCGCAAAGCGCCATTTTGTTACTTGAATTGCGTGTATTCTTTCGCTTCGAACAACCGTCTCATTGATTTGAAATTTATTTTTTGATGAAGTTGATTTTGTATATAATCATATCCAAATTTATACTAAAGAATTTTAGTGACATCAAATATTTTTGGTTACTTTTGTTTATATATTTAAGATTTAGCAAAGACGGAACTAATTTTTAGTCGTACCTACAGGGGGTGGAAAACCGTCCATGTGTGTTATGTAGGGAGAATTTACGCTTGAAGGTTTTACATTTGTAATGAAATAATTTAATCTTCCTGCAGACAACTACACCAAAAGTATATAATAAATAGGATATTTCATGTGTCGAGTGAAATATCATGTTTCTCTCATCTCGTGAAAATATCTCCTTCCCCCCCCCCCCGTCACTCGGGGAGAGAAACATGATATTTCACTCGACACATGAAATAACCTCTATATATATGAATAGATATTTATTTTTACTAAAAGCCAAGGCAAATCTAGATCAAACTAAACCAAGTCTAGTTTCCTTGATTCCACATGAAAACAACAGAAGAGGAAAGGTTCTTTTGAAAAAGAAAAAATACAATTATTTAGGAGAAATGTTTTCATAGGATAGGTGTTAGTCTACACTAACACATGTGACAAGGATATTTGGCAGCTTCTACCTTCAGCCTTTGTAGGAACCAGCATTTTGATGATTCACGAACATGTAACGGATTGTCCATTCCTACAAAGCAAGTTACAAAGAAGGAGAATTCAATAGAATATTTTCTGTGTCTTTTCTAAGTAATACTGAGCTTTAGGTGTCACATGTTGCAAGCATGTCAAACAAAGGATATGTGGGATATTTTCTCTTAGTTCCAATGGCATGGCTCTGCCACTGAAATGGCAGCTGAAAGTAAGAGCTTCAGCTGTGTATAAGATGGTGGATAGAGGTGAAAGTAGGTACTTGACCTGGGCCCACTTGCACAAAGCAATCTTAGCGCTAAGATGATTGTAACTCCCATACTTTAACATAGGGTTACGATGGTCTTAGCGCTTAAGATCGCTTTGCGCAAGTAGGCCCAGGAATAATGAAGTTGAGACAACATTTAATTGACCAAAATGACCAGACTTGCATTTGTTCTACTGTACTATCAACCAGTAGGGTACCATGTAGCCAGTGAGTGAGTGAGTGAATGAGGTTTTATGCCGCTTTTAGCAATTTTCCACCAGTTTCCACCACTAGGTTACCCCAACGCCCTTGGCCATGGTAAAGACCATGATGACCCTACTGTGTCCACATCTGTTCAGAATTTGGGTTAGATGAGACAGGGGATTCACGGGATCTTGTGGTCGGACTTGGGGATTCAGACTCAGTAATTTACAAGCTGCAATTATATCCCTGGAATAGTGTTGAATGTGGCGTTAAACAACAAATACACACTCAGCCACACACTGCTGGGCCCAATGGAGCATATCTCCTTGCTGTGACTAACTACATGACAACACTATTACAATGAGACCTATCATTGAACAATCAGAAGAAAACCTATACTACTTACAGTAAGATTGATCTCATTTAGAGCTGTGATTATATCAGTCACTCCCATGGAACACTAGAGACATGGGATTTGGATGCCATCTTGTCTCACTCTAAACAGATATACGTACAGATTGAGGCCTAGACTAACATCTAGTCTCTGAAATGAACATATTTTTCGAAAAAAACAGTTCTTAAATTATAGTTATAAAATATAATAAAGAGGAGCCCAGAGACTTTCTTCATTTTCAGATACTGCAGTAATCTAGACTTGCCAAACATTATAGACTTGCATGGGCTGTATTGGATATATTTGTTTCAGGGTCTGTATGACAGACTTATTGAGGGCAGAAAGTGTCCTCGGCCCAATTGTAGAGATTGAGTAGTCTAAAATGATGATGCAGTCATGTCACATTCCATAGGAGTCTACACCAGGAATACTTGAACCAAACAAAGACTGGACGTTTATCTTTCTTCATGCTTTCATAGTCTTTCAATATTCTGCTGATGGGGGATTTTTCATACTCATAAATTCTCATAAATTATCAGTGTTGAAAGTCAAGGCATCCTTGTCATAGCCCGATTGTTAAAGGTTTAAAGGGTCCCAGATTCAAACACTGGAGGAACTCTCTCTAACCCGGGCACACTCAGTTTGGTATATGACAGGGTTATGGGAATTTACCTATGAAAGGTTTTATACTTTATAAAATACATAGAACAGGCTTCCATCCACTTCTGTGTGTAGAACTGTGTATCTCTGTAGACAATTGTAGAGCAACATTTTGTTTTAAACAAAGAATTTGGTTTTGTGTTTGAATAATCAGTTGGATCTCATTGCAGCACAAAAAATGGACTTGATAAAATTATATAAAAAACAAGTGTTCACTGTTGAGATGGAGGTATGCTTTATCATCATGACAGATAAGTAGAGTAGAGTCTGGGGTACTTGTCAAGGAAAGGAGGAGTGTTGCTTGAGTTTTATACTGTATGAGTATAACTTACGTTAACTGCCATAATAAAACATTAACTACATCTTTGTGTGTGATGAGTGATATCTATGGAACGTGGACATGTACTTGTGTGACAGTTCGGAGCTTTGAGTCCCATTTCTGTATCTTTTAGGGGTTTTGTGTGTGGTTTTATTTGTGGTTTATGGTTACATTGTGTTTGCTCACATACAGCTG